ACAGCCGTGGGCCAGGTAAAATGATCGAGAATAGTGCAAGTGTTTGTGGGGGACAGGGTTGACGATAATAATAGTCTTAATTTGGAAGAACAAGGAAAGGAAAATTGGTGAAATTGGTTTGATGGTACAACAGTGAGCAATTTTCCAATTTTGGACTCTGTATGTCGAATCTTGGACTCTGATATATGGATCGCGAGAATTGGATCGTGGACTTGGACACAGATTCATATCTCAACACCTGGAACTGGGAGTTTGGATCTTAGGACTCTGGACTCTGAGATCTCGAGCCTTGAAATTCAGAAACTGGATTTTGGTCGCTAAGGATTTGATTACACGCGCCTTAGTGGCCAAATTTGGGACTTTCGTATGCGAAATTTGGACTCTGACCCTCAGACTTTGAACTTTCAACCTAGGATCTCAGATTTGAAATTCTGAACTCTGGGATCCAAACCTTGCACTTCCGATCTTGGAAATCTTCAGACCTCTAAACCTTCGTTCCATTTATACTTGATCTCACGACTAAACGAATGATCTTCGATGTCTAAATAAATGATCCAAGTGATCCAAATGTCGCATCCGTTCCCAAACCAACTGAAAAAGTCAACAATCTCACTGTTCCACGGTTCGCGTTGACTAATTACCACAGGGAAACGGTGCAAGCTAATCGAATGGGACAATCGAAGCGTTCGACCAGTGTCCACAACACGATCACCCACTGTCAAACCGAATCCTTAAAGTGTCGAGGCATCGTAAGGAAGGGACCGCGTGTCGAAAGAACACGGGCCGATATCTCGCTTGTACGATCGTGTGTGCCATTGAACGGCGCCGATAGAGTAGTCTCTCGCGTGTCGGATTGGCTGTCGGCAGCGCGAGCCCGGCAACGAGTAGCTGCTTCGACTTTCACTGATCTACGAGGAGTCCACCGCTGGAACTCGATTCCCCCCATACGACTGTCGCAGTCACGCCGCCAGTTAAATCGACTCTGTGTCGACTTCCATTCATCGCCACGGGCACGCTCGCACTTCGCTTTAACTCTTTTAATACCCCAACGTTAGATCTCGCGAAATTGATAGAAATACTTTGAGGTAACATAGTAGCTATTTTAGGAATAATCAATAACTATTATTTATTACCAGTGGTCTAACGTCAAAACGTTTGTTTTCAGATTATAAATAATGAAATTATTCACGTTTCAAAATATTTTCTTACATACAAATATTTAATACATACATATGTATAATTTTTTTTTTGGAAGGTCGCTTAAACTATAGAATTCAAATTTGTCTGTAGGTATACGAGGTAGGTACTTTATAGCCTCAATTTTACTCGTCAACCATGCTACTTTCACGTACTGTTACATGAATTCTTTGTTTCTCTATAAAAGCATAAACTAATAAAGTATATAGCATACAGGTATACTATAACTACAATAAGTATAATTACAAGTGAAATTACAATAGGTATAAGAAACGAGTAAAGTCTCTATAAAGGTATAAACTACTACTCCAGGCCTACTGGAACAATTATTCTTATTGAACCGATATAAAACTTAATCCTGAAAAGTAATTAATTCAGTATATATATCTTTACGAGCAAATTCTTACCGAACCCATAGAATCATCGAAGGATCAACAAGCATCCCAATAAAACAGGGTGGCGAACAACCATGTAATTGCCTACTTTTTCTCTTCCCCTCCTTACAGCCTACGTGCAATCAAACCAAGTGAATTCTCCGCGGGCAAAATTATCTGTTGCTCGCATCGTGCTTGAAACGAGTTCTCAGCGTTGACGCGATAAAACCGCGTGTCGCGCAGACAAGGAGAATGTCGTTGCTGTTGAACATATTCGACGCGGAGGCGATCATTAAGCCCCTTGTATATTGGTCTTGGGCGCGAAAACTTCGAGAGGAAAAATGATGGCCGTCGAACTGGAATGGCGATTATTATTAACTGTTCTCCAGTACGCCCGATTATACTATGGTGTTACGTGCGAATAGACGTATAAAATGGCGGCTAATATACGGCATACAGGGAGGTGGTCTAGGTATTTACGATAAATTTCGCGGTATTTTACAATCGAAATAAAAGGGGTGGGAGAGTTTGCATTGCGTGAAAATAACTGGTCGATCGTGTGCCTCTAACATGGCGGTTTAAGTTCCTACACTTTAGAACGGGGCGTAACTAGTCGAACCGGAACATTCGCCAAAATGTGTAGTTGTATCTGTTAGACGGATCGTGTCCCGGCTGTTGGTTTTCTACGTTTTTTTACTACAGAAGCTGATGCTCGAGGGTGTGTTTAAGATGAACGGATCGATAGCTTTTGAATTAAAGATCGAATGGCCTGGATAAGGGTGTTATGGACAGTGTAACGAGCGCAAAGTGTTTCATTTTTGTTGCATCGTGTAGGTATAGTCTGCAGAGGAAAAATAATCCAGACATCTGTTCGAGTCTAACGGCGAGACATTCTAAAATCTTATTTACACTAGCCACGATCCTGGCAGTAGAAATGATTGTAAGAACATTGTATACCTATACTACATTGATATTTCCACTTTTTATTGCAATCAGAATTCTGTAAAATTTGTATCACTTATATCTAAATAATTCATTCCATATTCAAATATATAAGTTGGAAATTTTCCAAATTCATAATTTTCCCAATTGGAAATTCTCCAAATTCACAATCTCCCTTAATTGGAAATTTTCCAAATTCATAATTTTCCCAATTGGAAATTCTCCAAATTCACAATCTCCCTTAATTGGAAATTTCCCAAATTCACAATCTTCCCCATTGTAAATTTTCCAAATTCACAATCTCCCCAATTGGAAATTTTCCAAATTTATAATTTTCCCAATTGGAAATTCGCCGAATTCACTAGCTCCCTTAATTGGAAATTTCCCAAATTCACAATCTTCCCCATTGGTAATTTCCCAAATTCACAATCTCCCCAATTGGAAATTTTCCAAATTCTCCACTGATTTCACTCTCACGCAAAGGAAAAGAGAAACATAATGTTCAACAAATACGTTCTCCCGTTGTATATAACGGGTCGAAGGAAAGAAAAGGAGGAAAACAGGGGCACGAAGAAGCTCGTTCGTTCGTTCGCTCCTCCTCGTGTCACGAGGTTTCCTACACGCGTCGACTTAATTCGTAATTCAAGTGGCGTTGAAGCAACAGCTTCCGGTGGACGTCACACGCATCCTTCTTCCTCTGTTTCACGATCCGCGACCGAGCTATACGTGCCCCATGGCTTTTATGCGTTTCCATTTAACACTTCATTGTATGAGTGCTTGTAAGTGCGTGTCGAGTGCCGCGTGTACGCGTTTGTTGCACGCGCGTTTTAACGTTACTCACGCCGGAATTTTCAAGAACCTTCTGAGAAGCAAAACGATCACTTCTCAGCTCAGTTCAAAGGATCATTTTGCACTTTAAACACTTTGATATTTTATTTATCGATTTTCTAGGCAAAGTATTTATTTCCGACTCGAACACGTTTCATGGTTGATTTATGCGAGAAAAATTTCACTACTATTGTCAAGAAATGAAATTTTTTGCTTGGAAGTGAAGATTGTTGAAATTTGAAATTTTTATTTCTGATTCGAGTGTATAGGTTACAATTTACATTTGGGATTAAAATTGAATACTAAAATAAATAAAATTTGTATAAATGAAAATAAAATGGAATATTAAAATTTCTGTTTGGATTTGAATTTTTGGCCTTGAAAATCTGTTCGAATTGAATGTTGAATATTAAAAATAAAAAAGTTTTTGTAATAGAAAATAAAATTGAATACTAAAATTTCTATTTGAAAATTGAGAATTTTTGAATGGAGATTTAAGTATAATAACATGGAAAGTATTCTGTGCAATTGTTCTAGATTCGATAGCTGAAATTATCTTATTTTTCTTTTGCCCTACATACCCATTCTATGCTAATTTTATCGGAACTTCGAAGAAATTCCGTGACGTTCAGTGGAAGCTATCGATTCTGTCCAACTTAACTCGACCAGCTGTCTATAACATCAACTAGTCACTGAACAAACACCTATTATTATTCCGATGACAAGAAACTGTCCTATTACCTAACCCCCCTATTCCAAACACATTATGAATCCAGCAACCATTTAATGATCGGAAATACCAGGGTAATAAAATAGAAATAAGAGCGAACAAATTGAATTTCTTCCTAACGAGACGTCCTACAAATGGGAATACTAGAGTTCCAATGCATTGAACCCGGTTTGTGATAGGTATGTCTCAAAACGCAACAACCAGCTGCATTAGATTTGCTAATGCTGAATGGTACGTGTACACTTTCATTCATAAGTATTTAAATATACCATTTTTTTTTTTTACAATAAGCACCATTTGTATGAGTTAAAAAACAAAGAATATAATAGATAGGCAGGTATCCATGCATAAACAGTCAGAGAACTTTTGCTATTTTTGCTACATTCATTTAAATATTCACTTAAATATTCTTGGATAAAGTTTCACTTAGATAGATTTTACAGATTTTCTGAGATCATGGTAGAATCAACTTTCTTGACAGATCTTAGAGATTTCTTAGATCACAGAAAAACCGAATGAATCAAGACAATTTAATTCCTTTTATTACAGAAAAAATTACCATATAATACTTTGGGTGACGGTTTTCCTCTTCAGGAATGATTTCACTAAATACAGTAAAACAATGAACGCAATTATTTTCCATTCTATCATTACATTATTTTTCAATCCTGACATCTTACAATCTCAATATTTAATATTAATTTGTCACTGAAAATATTAACCATAAAAGAATGCTAAAACTGATTTGGCCACCCAAAATATTGAAAAAGAAATACAAATTAGAAAATAAAAAATTCCAATTTCACTCAATCCTGAATATCCTCAAACTTATAAACAAAAGTGTACACGCACACGTAATACACAAGAAATAGAAAATGGAGGCGAGTTTATACTTCTGGGAATGCATAAATCTATCTACGGCCACTTACTTTGCACAGAGCTACGCCAGTGTCCAGCCGGTCCATAAAATTGTCAACGTTAATTCTCAGCTCCGGATACAGCGCGTTCAACCACTCGGCTAGATCCTCTTTCATCGCGATCAGATACTCCTCCGAGGACTTGAAAGGCCTGTAAGACCTCGCCTCCAGAAGCACCGACATATTGGCTGCTCGATACCTGAAACACCGATCGATTGCACGCTATTACACATATTTTTCTTCTTTTCATCTTTTTCTCCTTCTTTTTTTTTTTTTTTAGCTAAACTGGAAGTAGAATGTTTCACTTTGCTATGAATCTGTTTAATTCACTACGATTTTATTTATAGTTCGGTTTATAGATTCGTGTGGGTCGTGGTTGATTGAATGCGAACGTTTATGGGTTTTGCGGTACCTGTTTCGAACGATGCAAATGAATCACAAGTGAACATGTTGCACGATGGAAATTTTATGATTTTTCATTAGCTGTGAGATTTCTGATAAATGGAGATTTAGATGTACCGATGGTTTCTGAAAGACAGCTGAATCTGTTGCTAATAAGTAAGTTATTCCTAACTCAATTTATTAAGGATTTTACTATAATTATTAAAAAACTAGCGAATTTAGTGAAAGAAATTGCAATACTAGTTTATACCTATTTACAAAAATATTAATCGTTTTACTTTAAGAATTTGTTTATTGTAATTTTAATTCACTGTAAAATTCTTTCATTTTTGAATTAGAAAACAAATTAAACAAAACAGAATATTGTTTGTATTAACTCCAGACCAATTTAAAATTCTTCCATAGGTCTAATTTCAGAATTTTTTAATTTAGCACAATATCACTTTAATCACCAATATCGTTTTGCGACTGCTGCGCACCGTATTCCTCACAAAAATGTGAATTTGAGATTTAACTTCGCATGAGCAATTTAGTTGAAGCCTTGAGAGCTGTCTGTAGTCTGCATAAGAGCTTATTCAGTTTCTTGCTTCTTCCGACAGGTTGTTTGACAGAATGAACGTACGTAAGTGTTTGTGTTCTACAAATCCAAGTGCTTTTATACAGTTTTTCGTAGCCGAGTTTTGTTGGCGTAACCAATCAGCATGTAGGATATATGGTTATTGTCTAAGTCGAACAGGATTGACTGGGGATAATCTACCTCGGCCAGCGGACCCCTAGTGGCCTTTCTTATTACGCCTCAATAAAAGATTCGTTTTAATTGCAATTCTACTTCACTGCAAAATTCCTTCATTTTTGAATTAGAGAAAGAAAAGTAAAATAGAATATTGTTTGTTTCAATTTCAGACCAATTTAAAATAAGTCTAATTGTACGATATCACTTTAATCGTCAATTTTTTTATTGTTATAATACAGAATTCTTCTATTTTAATACGAAATAAGTTGATCGAAAATTTGTTGTCACCAGTAGTTCGATTTAAAGTTACGTCACCGCAAAATAGTAGTGCTCTAATTTACAATCTTGTATTCAAATCAACACTAGCCTACAGTCAAATATAAAAAAATAATTTTAACATTTTAACACTATTTTAATAAACAAAACGCCTCGACAGCGATATCATACTGGTTTAATACAGAATTTTTTAATTACTGTAATATTATAATATTCTAATCTTTAATCTCTTATTCCACTCAACACTAGTGTACAGTAAAATATTAAAAAAAAAAACCGTTTTAACATTCTAATATCTACCATTTTAATCTGACAAGTTTTGCTCTAAAAAAAAAAAGAAGAAATTACACAGCAACAAAATTACTTCGTCGTGGAAATTTGATCAATTCAAAGGTACATTATCAATGACAATTACCCTGGAACAAAATGTAGGCAGTGAACGCATTCACCGTCGCAATGTGATAATTTGCAATTAAAATTGAACAGCTCGTTTTCCCAGATCGAACAAGCGATTCAACGACGTGTCCGCGCGTCACTGCGAAACACACTGGGGACAAGCAATAAAATTCCGAGGGATTTGCAAGACAATGGTCGTCGAAACTGTCCCAGAAACTCTCCCCTAGCGAGCGATACCAGTCGAACCACCCTGTAGAATCGCTGTCCACTGCACAATGTATCCGAAACCCGTGCCATATCGCTCTCGTCGCTCCCCTGGTTCCAGCTACCCCTTTATAAATCTTCATTGCTCTCATAAAACGATGATCCCCGATCGAACGGACTCTCTGACAACCAGTTTGCCCCTTTTGAGTCGTAATATACCAGGTGGCTCAGCTGAAAATTTTCTCAGAACAAAGTTACGCTACTTCAGTGGGCACGTGAAATCGTGAAAACGGTTTTCTCTCAACATCATTTCTTTTACGAAATTTCAGAGTCATCGCTATATTTTTAAATGGAATCCTACATATTTTTTTCAATATCATTGCAGAGAGTGAAAAAATAAATTCAACGACGTTAATAACTATACCATTCCCATGTCTGGGAATAGATATATGGAAAGATATAGAGATATTTGCGTCTGAATGTAATTAAAATTTCTTAAGGATTCAAGCGGTACACTGATTCACACATTCGTATCCAATCATAAGTCTTACCTGTTATTGGAAACGGTAACAGAAGATAGGTACTTTTACAACTCATTGTGAATTCCAAAGGTTAGAGATGCTCGATGCGATGGCCATTTGCTGCTACGCATAATTGGAATCCTTTGATCAATTCTTCATACCAACGCTTTTCCTATTTTCTGCGATATTATGGATGCACATGCAGCTGCAATTCTCTCCTTCATATTATCTTGTTGGTTTCTCACGATAAACCATACCTTTTAGTTTACCCGGCAGATAAAAATCTAGCGAGGTAAGGTCAGGAGAACGAGCTGGCCACTCCACAGTTCCTCGTCGTCCGATCCAACGTCCTTTAAACATTCTGTCTAACAGTGTCCTCGCACACGTCGAATAATGTGGTGGGCAACCATCGTGTAATGTTTACGTTCGATTACGTTCTTCAGTAAACCTTTAGGAAATTTTAATTATCTTTAGACACAAGTATCTCGAAACGAAGGGTTTTTTCACTCTCTACAAGGATATTGGAAAAATACAGGGTTCCGTTTAAAAAATTAACGATTACCTTGAAATCTCGTAAGAAAAATGACCTTGTGGAAAAACCGTTTCCACAGTTACACGCGCCCCTTGAAATAGTGTAACATTGTCCTGAGAAGCTTTTTCATTTAGCTGAGCCATCCTATATACACTGCTGGCCAAAAAGTTTCAGAACGCTTACCAATTTTTCCATCTGCTAGCAATTTTTCGTGGGTTTGAAATCAATATTGCAGGGATGAAAAATTTTTATGAAAACTCTTTGATATCTTACAATACACAGTGATCAAGAATTTGTGATTCGAGTAATAAAGAATTCGTGAAAAATTTCTTAAAGTTGCTAATATTTTTTTTTTGGAAAAAGTGATGATTTAGAGCAAGGGTCGGCAACCTTTTTTACTAGGAGGAATGCGGGAGTTCGGCGGGCACCGTGGGATGAAGAGGAGGGAGGGGTAATATTTAAACATGAAAATATTAATGCGACATAAATTTTTATAGATAAAACAAGAATTTTTACTAAAATTTTTTTGATTTAGAGTGATTAGAGTGCACAGTGATCTAGAGTGATGGAGAAAAGTTTTATCTTGAATCTATTAAAAATAATTCTATAGGTACTCTGCAGATTATTGGAAAAATATTCCATTCTGAATCCTGGATTTAACGAAAATATTTGTTAGTCGGAAATTGTCGACTTTTATAATATTACAACCGAATATTATTTCACTGCAATAATTGAATTTATCAGACTGGTATAGTAATTTACTTTCAAAAGACTAGATTCCAACAGTTGAGTACTGCTATAAACTTTACAATCCAGTCCTGTAACTTTTAACGTTACCTAATATTATCACAATGTAATGATTTAGTCTACTAATTCTATATTTTAATAGCCTGTATAATCTAGGTTATAATTTTAGGTTCCAAGAGTATGAATTCAATGCACCACGATTTCAAAACCTAGTCTATTAATTTTACACTTGATTAGTTTGGTCTGGAATAATTCAATCCAGAGTTTCTATAGCTTAATAATTCAGTCTACCAGTCTTACGCTGTAATAATCCGTGCAGAACATTAGTCTTGCATTTTAATAGCCTAGTTTAGTATATAATTGCATACTGTAGCTCTGTCATCTAGCAAATGCGGTAATACTCTAAGTCAATAATTCCACAATCCAATTTGAACAGCTTAAGGATTCTAAAAGTAATCTTTTTAGAGGAGAAGCTTCCAACGTCCAAGGTCAAGTGTTTTAAGCGTAAAATTAAGGAATAAAAAAAGGAAGAATACTTTCTTTTTCGTTTGAAAACACTAAAAAGAGAACAGACACAGCTTCTCATTATTTCTGAAACTTTGTTTAAGGAAAAACAAAAAGACATACCTTACAAAGAATTAAAAAATTATATTAAAGCAATTAGGAAGAAAGTACAAAATTTCTAAAGTAACAAAAGTTATATCTGACAATTTCTACATTTTCCAGAACAATTTCTAATTATTTCTAAGTGCTTTTGATCATCCTTAACTTGACGAAAACTGTAAAAAAGATTCTTAATCACACCTAAAGCCACGAAAGCAATTTCCAATGATCCCCAAAGCAATAAAATTCATCCCTAGCTACCGAAAGTGCCCCCAAAAAATCCCAATCATCTCCAATCATTCACTTACACCGCCATTCACACCGTCAACCCCAAACCCCCATAAATCCAACCGACAAAACCCCTGTGATAGTTACTGTGTCGTAACTGCGCACTCTAGTTATCGATTCCGCCGAAAAGAGCCAATGATAAAGCAGAACAAGCTGCACGGAGAAGAAAACGTGCAGAGAAAAAGGAAGGAAGGTGTATTGTAATAGCAGAGGGAGAAAGAGGCTGAAAAAGTGGCACAGAACAAAGGGAAAAATCATAAAGGCGACGTTTCAAAGGTTCGTGCGTCGACATCGACGTCCTGCATTGGGATTTTTTTTTGAGAATAATTCCTCTTTCATAATTAATCTTTAATAAATCTCAATTCGAAATAAGATAAACTTTGAAACATTAAATACTTTTGCACACTTATACCTTTTTCAGTGAAAATAATTTTGAAATTTTGAAAAATATCCACATAAATGTTTCCTAAGTGATATTCACCACCTTATTTCCACTA